GCAGTTGTGTGAATTCTGCTGCATGGTAAGAAACATTCCCTCTACCTGCTCCCCTCTTTCTGCTCCGACCCATACCATGTGGATCCTCTAGTCTAGACACCCACGGTCTGTCCACACTCTTGCAGACATCCGCCCCTTGGCCACCCCAGGGTCTAGGATGCACACGCCAGTGGTGTGTCTCCCTGTCAGCAGCACATTGCAGGGAAATGACTAAAGCTACTGGGGCCAGGAAACCAGGGTGTCAGGTTCCTGGAGAAGTGGGGTACAGGCTCCAGGTGAGCATCCTCTGTATTCCCATGGGCAGGGCTCTCTAAAGCCAGGCCTCCTATTACCCAAGACTCCAGCACAGGGGTTGAGAGAAAAGCTGAAAGAACATTCTGAGACAGAATTCTGAGCATGACAGCTCCAGGTGTGTGGGTCATATGTCAAGGTCAGTTGTGCCTGTTAACTTAGTGAGAGGTGCCCAATCTCACCAGCAATGTTTCTATGGGGAAAATAAGTACAGTGGTGCACTGGGTTTGTCTTGTTCCCCTCCCGTTATTTGAAACAATATGTTATAATGAACTTTATTCTAGATGTAGCCATTTCCTTGAGTTTTAGGTGACTCCCATGTTGCAAGATCCTATCTGCCTTGCAGAAATGTCTGCAGAGGATGAGGTAGTTGTGCATAACAGTCCTGCCAGCCCATCGCAGCCCATATAAGAAGGGGGAGATGTGTGTTTCATGCTGATTTGTATTTTCTTCTCCCAAACAGCCAGTTTTTACTTGGACCAGGTGTTTTCTTTTTCTTTTGCCTATGCTTCCCCCTCACCTCCATCCCCAATCTCAAAGCCACCTGTTATTCAAAAGTCTCTTGTTCTCCCTTTCTTTGTCACACGAAAGTAGCAAGATCCAACCAAGAACTTGACTCCCTTCAGACAGCTCTGCTGACATAAACGGTACTAGAATCCTTCAAGTAGCTGAAACAGTAAAGGTCAAAACAAAAACGTGATTTCTTCTTGAGTCCCTTAGGAAAAACCATGCCCCAGTGATACTTGGTGTTTTGCTGGCACTTGTTTTGCTGCATGTCTTATTTTCATCAGCCAGTCACCCCTTGAATCAGCAACAAAGGTAGAGGAAGGGAGATACCACAAATGCTTTCATTTTGAGTATTTTTTTCCTATTTAAAAGTTGGGGAGGGGCGTGAAATGTCAACCTTGTCATGATGCTTCTTCCACAAGCTGTCAGTGAAGAAAGTGGCCGCACGGACCTGGTGGAGAGGAGCCGTGTTCATCCCTTCCTCTCCTCTTTCGGGACTTGGTAGAAACCAGAAGGGGGTGGGGAAAGAGATAAACCCACTGTTGGCATAACAGCCAGTGTCACTCTGACATCTAAGCTGGGGGAAAACCCACCAAGACATAAGTTCATTCTGCTTTTGTTTGTTGGGCCTCCATTCTCACGGTTGGCTTTGTTGTCCTTGAAGAAGGGTCACAGGATACTAGCCTCACAAAGCTCAGCAGCCCATAAAGGGAAAGTGTCACCTCTGTGGGCCTGTGTACCTACAAATGCACTTTCGTCCAGTTCCACACAACAGGGTTATGGTCTTGGGCATGCTGGGGACAGAACAGAGTCTGGTCTAAGACCCAGGTCTGTCTTCCAAGCCCACTCCTGAGGCAAACACCAGAGACTGACTGGAAAAGAAAAACCCCACATGTCATGTGCCACATAAGACATCAAACAGGGACAGGGAAGAGTTAGAGATAGCTTCTTAGAGGAACCCAAGATGGAGTGTCACCTCTGTGCTGACCCTGTTCCTTCATGTACGGCCTCTGTTAGTCCTCATACCAACTCTGGAAGGGGGCCTCTGGGCTCCACACATGACTGATGAGGAGACAGAGGCTCACTGAGGATGTGTGATTTGTCCTAGGTCATGCAGCTGGTTGTGACAGGTTGGGTCTGTCTGCCTCTGAGCCTGTGCTGGCAATCGATCCCCATGCGTGGCCAGAAGAAGGGGGGATCTGGGCAACCTGAGGAGACAGGGAGGGATCACACAGGCCGGGACCCCACCCTGGGTGAATGAGAATGAGCTGTTAGGGTGGTGGGCATGAGGACCAGCCTAGAGAGGTGAGGAGAAACACTGGACACAGAGCTCCCACGGGCCACGTGGGAACTCCAGCAGTGCCAGGCACAGTGTGGTAGCAGCAGTAGGCATCAAGGCTGAAAGTGAGTTAGACGATTATCCAGAAATCAAAGTGGCAGTGATGCTATGGGAAAGGGGTGTATCTGAGACAAATTCAGGAGTCAGTAGTCTTGGTTATGTGAGGGCAGAATCCGAGATTCAAGCTTGGAGGTCTGGTGACTGGAGGATGGCCAGAGATGAGAAGATGCAGGAAAGGGTTGCCTTGGTGTGGAAGTCAACTGGTTTGAATTGGACGTACGAAGTTCAGAGTAACTTGAACTGGATGGTCCATCTTGTGGACAACTAAAAGTGTCACAGTGGAGTCCAGCGCACAGGCAGTGAGAAGCATGGACATGGGGTCACCACAGACAGGAGAGAAGAGTGGGTACGAATCGAGTAGCCCTCTGAGGAAGCAAGCAGCATGCACTTTGATTTCCATAACCTGCACTAAGGAAGAGTCTCAGTCCCAACATAAACCTCTACCAAATAAAATAGCCTACTGTGAAATCTTAACTTATCCTCAGATGATAGTCAGAGTTCAATATGTCATCACCCCAAATCACGTGTCAACAAAAGTCAAAAACAGAGCTGATGATGGCGGGGAGGGCTTGCTTCCAGGGTCTTTCACGGGCTGATGTGTTCTGAGTGGGTGAGGACAAACACATTTGTATAATTAGGTTCTTACCTCATTCTACAGGTTTCTACTGAGCTCCTTTTATGGAAAGTTAAATTTTTAAAAAGACTAAATTAAAGCTTCAATGTAATTAATATTGGCTTCAGCCAGTTGAGGACTGGATGGACATATCCACTGGAAAGAGAGTGAAAAGCTGGTAACATTGAATCCTCTGTTGCTACTGAGCACATTTTGCATGGATGAGAGCCAAAATGTAGACTTGGGAGAGATCAGCAGCAGCAGATAGATAGCAGTTAAGACTGCACAGAATAATTCAGTCAGAGATGAAAACAGCTTAAAGAATAATGTTTTGCCTGGGCTCAGTGGCTCAGCCTGTAATCCCAGCACTTTGGGAGGCCAAGGTAAGTGGATTGCCTGAGCCTGCGGGTTTGAGACCAGCCCGGGCAACTTGGCGAGATTGTGTCTCTACAATAAATAAAAAATTAGCCAGGCATGGTAGCATGCACCTGTAGTTCTGGCTACTTGGAAGTCTGAGGTAGAAGGATCGCCGGAGCCCAGTAGGTCAACGCTGGGGTGGCTGAGATCGTGCCACTGCACTCCAGCCTGGGTGATGAAGTAAGACTCCAACTCAAAAAAAAAAAGAATAATGTTTTATAGGTAACATTGGAAATTGCACACAAAAAATACTACCCAGACAATGCTTTCTTAATGAAAATTCATTATTGCTGACATAATTCTCTTTAAAATATCTGTATTTGTTATTATGACATCCAGACATGTTTGAGGTCAGAGCAGTAGAATCAGCCTCTTGGTCTTGAGGCTGGCTTAGCTCTTTCCATTCTTGTGGGGTCTGTGGTGGTTGGAATGGAACCCAGTGTGATCAATCGCTTGAGTTGGCTCGTTGGGTGGGCCTGGGGTGCGAGAGAACTGAGTTTTGCTCTACTCAAAGGCAAGAGGTAGAAGAACTGTTCCCTGCAGACAGCAGTGAAGGATTGTAACAGCTAGAGTGATGCAGCTTGGGGTGTAGCAATAAAAGACTAATCTAGATGCGTTAACATAGTGAAAGTCTTATTGCCTGTCAAATACATGGATTTAAATCTGAGAGTGGCAGGGAATTGTGGGAGCATTTTTACGGGTGGAACAGTATAGTCAGCACAGCATGCAGGGAAGGCAGTCTGTGGTTTGTTGCCCCTTTAGGCCACGGTCAAGATTGGTGCTCACACAAGTGAGCCTTTGTGAGATCTTGGCCACAGATCTAGAGAATGGGAGTGTAATTTGTGTAAATGGTCTAGATTACCATTCCTAAAGCTTGCATGACCAATTTCAATGAAGTGTTAAAACTTTTTTTTTTAAGTAGGAGTCTTATTCTGTCACCCAGGTTGAAGTGCAGTGGCACGCTCACGGCCACCGCAGCCTCAACCTGCTGGGCTCAGGCGATCCTTTCATCTCAGCCATCCAAGTAGCTGGAACTACAGGCATGCGCCATCATGCCCAGCTAATATTTTGATTTATTGTAGAGATGAGGTCTCACCAAGTTGCCCAGGCTGGTCTCGAACCCATGGGTTCAAGCAATCCTCTCACTTCGGGCTCCCAAAGTGCTGGGACTATAGACATGAACCACTGTGTCCAGACATTTTTTTTTTTTTTTTTTTTGGTAAACCTTCTTGGGTTTATCTTTCCTATTCTGTTGGAGAAGGCTGGCTGGAGAAAGATGACTGGATATATTTTGGGGAGTCTGTAGAGTTTGCTTGAGTTAACTCTTGAGGCCATATCATGTGGACACCAAGAGAAGAGTTAAAGCCTTGGAAATCTTGATGAAAGATTGAGATAGAAAATTTATCACTGTCAATTGTACAAAGGCAGGTGGAGTTCTCTCCATGGAAGTCGTAGGAAATGGGTTACAGCATGGTCTTTGGAGGGAAGGATGGCCCACGTTGGGATGAACCCCGGACTTCCTGGCAATTCTGTGAGGAGCTTTGCCAGTGGAATGACTTTGTGCTCTAGTGTAATGATCCCAGCTGACCAGGTGGAGAAGTTGCTGTGTGTGGGCCCTGACCCATGCTGGGGACAGGTGGAAAACCCTACAGTGTCACCAAGGATGGACAGCATGCCACTTATATCCACTATAACCACACTGTTCTCCTCCAGTTCAGAAGCGCTCAGAGGCTGAGAGGAGGTCATTCACCCTTTCCATTTCTTCTTTTCCAGTTACCTTAGAGCAGTTCTGCCTGGCTGTGAAGCGCTGTCCTGACCAAGAGAACCAGGCTTTGTTAATGAAGGTAGGTTATCAGATAAAGAACTTATTTCCTGAAGCTCGGAGCATTTTCGTTGCCCCGAGGATAGTTTCATTTTTACAAGCGGGAGTAAATTTATCATCTCTGAATTTTGTGCTCCACAGGGATAAACTTGTCATCGGTGAGTAGGAGGGTTGCTGGTTAATGAGCACAACTGCCGTCGGTGGAGTGCAACACAGTGACAGGAGAGTGGGTGTCAACTACTAGTGGGGAATCTATTTAATTCTCCAGAGGACTCAGTTGGTTCTATTTAAACTTATCTGACAGAGTCTTGATTCTTTGAGCAGATTTATGAGGCTTGGCCAAATTCCACATCTCCCACTCTACCTTTTAATTAAGACAGAGGATTCCTCACGCTCCCAGTCTGCCACATCCTACTTTTGTCACCAGAGGGAATGCTACACAAATTAGGCTGTTCATATTAACCACCAGAACGAGCATCTGATGTCACGGAGCCCACGCCCTTGCGTGAAAGGCAAACTTCTTTTCTCCTCAGTAACGATTGTTCCATTTCCTTCTAAGTGGCAGGAGCAGAGGCATTTCCAAATAGCATAACCATTTAGATTGCACATCTAGGTGAACCAAAAGTGTGGAAAAACTTGGCACACAGCCCACATGAATTGAATTCAAACTTTGTCTCTGAAGCAGAGAACAGAAGACAGCTGCAGATGACAAACACACACACACACACACACACACACACACACACACACACACTTTTCCACCCATGACCAAGACTCACGCTTCCACCTAGAAGCTGTGAAGACTGACCTCGAGACACAACCGTTTCCATGATGTCATTTCAATTCAGAACCACCAGGAAACCGCGTGAACCAGGAATTGCATTTCTTTACCTAAACACCAGTTTCTTTACCAGGTGTCCTCTGACTTTAGAAATGGATGGAAAAAATAGGGTGTCACTCTGAGGGATTTTCAACTCATTTGCCTAAGTTGTGATATTTTTGGTCTGTCTTTTTTTTTAGTTTTCAGTGACGTTGATTTTATAATAAAGAAGTGCTGCTAATACCAAGGGTTGGGCTCATCTAGGAGACTGGATTCACCAGAGTCCTGGGCATACAATATATTGACTTAGAATGATGTAGATTTAGGTGCGTGAGTTGTTTTTGGTATTTTGAGGTTTTCCACACTTAATTCTCCACTCCCTGGCCTGAGTTCCATTCCTCAGGGACCTTTTCATCCACATGCAGTCTGGCTTTCTGTGCCCATGAAGCAGCTCTCGGGCTCCATACACTCACCTCTCTACCCCCATTCGCCACCCAAGAAGACCAGCACACAGGCCTTTGGTCTTGTTTTCCTCTTTCCAGAGCTTTCTCCTGCCATCTGCTCCTTCTGACTTCTTTCTTGTTCTTCCACTGTCCATGCCTCCCCCACCTTCAGGAGATGGAACTCCTGTGCCCTGCCTGTTGCTATTGGTAAGCCCTGCCTAAAGGTTATGTGGGACTCTCAGAGGCAGTGTGGGATAGAAAGAGAAGAGCACAGAGCCCAGTCCAGAGCCCAGCCACAAGAGACCATACCTCCAGGCCTGCTTTTATCTGTCCTTGTGGCCTCCATGACTTGGAGATGCTGCAGCCTCCTCTGAATTTCTTCATGTCTCAGCAAGTGGATGGCAAGAGATGCCACCTAAAGCTCCCTCCTTCTCACAGTTTACCTCCTTGCTGACTCTCATGCTGTCCTGGCTGGCTTCTCTAACACATTTGGTTAGAAACCAACAGTTCGGGGTAGGGAGAGAAAGATTAGGATGGTCTGAGGTGTCCTGAAATGTGTGTGATTTTCAGTGGTTTTCAGTATTTCATGCCTTCCCTGTTGGTTTCGGCAGACTATGTGGCCACGGCGACCAAGGGCGACGTCTGTGGGTGTTCTCTCGATATTTGCAAATATTTGAACTGGCATCATCAAAGAAAGAAGTTTCACTGAACAAAAACGTGTGCTCAGTCCATATATACTGAAAGTACTTTATGACTTTTTTTTCAGGAGATTGAGGGGTTTTAATGTCATATATCAGAGGGCACCGCGTGGGTGTAACAATGGTGTGCAGGGTGTTTGTAGATGTTACATGAAAGAGCTTACACAAGGTGACAGGAGATTATTTTGACTGCAGTCAGCCTGTGGTCAATTGTATGTTTGTCCCAGTGAGCTAGTCACTCTGCAGACTATCTGCAATACCTTTCCATACTTAACTCAACCTCTGAAAATTTGTTGGAGGCAACCCCCCCCCCAAAAAACCCACAACAACAACATAGACCTGGATCAGATAACATATTTTTAAAAATTGTGTTTGTGTGCATAGTGTTGCATCCCCACAATGCCAAAGGTAATTGGGAACTGAGGACAAATATTTCGTTCTACTCCGTGAGGGTGCTTTATACACAGACATCCAAGAAGATGCCAACAGGTAGACACACAGATACCCCAGGAAAACAGAAGCAGTGAGATGGCAGAGGCCAGAGCCTTCATCTGGTCCTGTCTGGGCTCCGTGCTCTTCTTTGTCTTCCTACACTGCCTCTGAGAGCCCCACGTAACCTCCAGGTGGGGCTCACCAGAGACGGGAGTTTCAGCTTCTGAAAGTGGGGGAGGGACAGACAGTAGAAGAATAAGAGAGAAGCAAGGACCAGGAAGATCAGGAGAGAGAGAGGAAGAGAAATGGTTAGCCACTACTGCACAGCTAGTTAGCAAGCAGTAAAACTGGGACCAAAAAACCAGGGTCTTCATACCCTTGGGCTGGGCTTCTTCCTGGAGCATCCACTCAGATAAACAAATTCATAGAAAAATCAACCACCCCAGACCTCTATGGCATGAGAGCACACACAGGAGGTGAGACTGGGATGGAACCATGAGTGCCATGTCTTGGCAGCTTGTGGAGTCACTCGTGGTTATGAATCACACCCTGTGGCTGAGTGTGCTGAAGAGACAGGAAAAAAGCCAGCTTCTCTGTGACTTCGTTTGCCATCTACCAAGCAGCGGTCAAGGCTGTTACTAACTTCAAGTTTGCCCCGTGGAGGGGCCAGGGAAGTACCCAGCTGTTATTAGGAGCTACCTTTCAGGGAGAGTTCACTACTATTTGAACCCTAGAACATATTTACATTCCATAAATTACTTATTTGGACTCATCCCCCACCCCCACTTTTTTTGAGGAGGCTTTCCCTGTCACCCAGGCTGGAGTGCAATGGCACAATCATGGCTCATGGCAGCCTCGACCTCCTGGGCTCAGGTGATAATTCCACCTCAGCCTCTGAGGAGCAGGGATTACAGACATGTGCCACCATGCCCGGCTAATTTTTTTTTTTTCTCTGTAGTGATGAGGTCTCGCTATGTTGCCTATGCTGGTCTTGCACTGGATTCAAGTGATCCTCTCACCTTGGCCTTCAAAAGTGCTGGGATTACAGGCGTGAGGCATCGCACCCAACCTGGCCCCATTTACTTTGACTTCCATATGTAACCTGTTTCTTCACTCATTCTTAGTTCTATTTGCCGGTTAACCTCTTTGGTCCCTCGAGGTCACTACCCTAAAGAGCCCATTTACCCTTGCCCTCACTGATCCTCCCCTGTGATTCCAGGTCTCATCTAAATCAGCTCACGTCCAAATCAGCTCAACAAGTCTAAACCTCACCAGTCTCCATCCTTCCCACCCCAGCCTAAGAGTTGTGGGCTAGTCTGAGGCCCTTCCCTGTTCTGGGCTGCTGCACCAAGTCTAATGCATCTGTAGCCCTTTTCAGGTTCTCTATCTCCCTCTGTCCTTCATGTTCATTCTGTGCAACCTCCGACAGAAAAGAGCACCTGGACCCGACCCCTTAGGGGCAAGTTCCAGTCCCCGCTCTGCCAGGAACCAGCTATTGGGCCAGCTATTGTTATCTGTTTTACCCTAGTGTCCTCTTCCGGTGAGAGAGAAGGGAAATGAGACAACCCCAAAGACCCTTTCAGCACCCACACACTGCAAAGTTAGGAATGGCATCACCAACAACCCTTGCAATATTAAATATGCTTGAGAATGAAGCAAGCTGGCCTCTGTTGTGCCTGCCTCTCTCCTCCAGGCACTGCCAAGTGAACTTTCTTGGGGCCCCACATGCTACATGTCACTCTCTAGATTCGTTTCCAGCCTCAAATCCTTCTCTTCATTGGAATAATGTGATCACAGAACTTATCATCCAAACCTGGACCTTCTTGAGAGTGAAAGGGGCATCATTAAAAATACAGCCTGGCTGGGCTCGGTAGCTCAGCCTGTAATCCCGCGCCTTTGGGAGGCTGAGGTGAGTGGA